ACTCGCCCATCGATGAAGCAGTCGCCAAAACAAAGCTCAAAGTTAATATACCTTCGTACTTCGTTTTGGAAACTGTAGAATGCCAGTAAATAATTATAATTTGTGTTTCAATCGTGTATTCGATGGGCAAGCACTCGCCACTCGAGGCCGAGACAAACGGCACCGGCTCCGCCCTGCAACCATGAAGTAATGTAAGCAGTAAGGCGGGGCGGTGGTGTGCGCCGTTTATACGGCCCACAGCACGAGACATTTTGAGCTCCAAGACTTACGACTATAAAAGTCCCGAGTTAAACGTAGCGACTTACCATCGTCAGCCGTCAAAAATTTAGAATTTGTATGTTATAAACTCTACATCTGATATCAGTATAACATGTAATTTAGTTTGTTATTGGCTAAATTTTTAACTCGATTAAGCGATGCAGACGGATGAACTAGGCTCCTCCTCCGTCAAAAACACAATGAGAGGGGATTGTGGAAGGACACGAACACTATTCGTTAACTCGTACCCCGGGTACCCCCTAGAACTATATGTCCCATCAGATCACAGGCAAATAAATATCACTTCTTAATCAGAATTCAGTGAAATTTTTGTCACACCACTCAGTTCCATACCGGTTTTGAGCTCTTAGAAGTGACTGTTTAAGTAAATTCTTGATAGATCTGCATGTGGAGGTGAAATTTAACGGGCCAACTTTACGGAATTCATTCCACAGCCATGCAGATTTATAAACAAATTGATTAGTTGGAGAGGGCGTAATGAACAGATTATCTTTCCTATTTGATATGTTGAATAAGTAGTATAACGAAATTGGTACTCGTGACTTAATGATCTTAAAAAGTTCCATTAAACAACGGTATCTGTACAGGTTCTCTGTAACAAGTAATTCATGTTTTGTGAATAGAGGCTTAGTGGACTCTTTAACATAGAATTCAGATCCTAGACGTTGAGAATTAATTGGTCTTGCTCTAGCACATGTCTTGAACTTGTCTACATAAGCTTCATAGTCTCCAAATAGAATCCTGATACACTTCTTTTGAGTAATAAATAGCGGTTTTAACTGATTATTGGGAATACCTCCCCAGACAGAAATAGCATAACCTAGGTGTGATTCAAAGAGGGAATGATATATTTGCTTATATAGTGATTCTGGTAAGCATTTCTTAATACGGTAGATACGTCCACAAGCACTTCTTAGTTTCTTGTTGAGGGATGATATATGTGGTTTCCAGCTCAATTTATCATCCATGATTACTTCAAGAAATTTTGTCTGACTTACACGTTTAATTATTTTGTTATTAATGGACAAGTTTTGGCTATCTATATCGGCATCTAATTCGTTATTATTACGTTTAGAGGGAGAAAAATACATGTAACAACACTTCTTTACATTAATGTGCAGTAGGTTAACTCCCATATACTTGTTTACGGCCTGTAGTACTTCATTAGCTAATTCATATGCTTTATTTCTCGAATCGGCAGCGACAAATATATTAGTATCGTCTGCAAATAAGACAAATTTACCATTTTTAGTTATATTGCATATGTCATTGATGTACAGTAGGAAAAGTAGAGGTCCTAATACACTACCCTGAGGGACCCCGAATTCGACCGGTAATTCATCAGATTTGGTATCCAAAACGTTTACAAATTGTTTCCAATTAGACAAATAACTAGAGATAAGATTGCTGTTTGCTCATCCGAGCCACAGATGCACAGCGGAGAGGCCGCTGCTCTGTCAACTCTGAAGAGAAACGAGTTCAGTAGATTGTTCTTGTACATGAGACTCATAACCAATACTTCCACTTCGCGGCTCACTCCAAAGGGGATGGGAAGGGGGTTGCAGGAGACTCTTGGAATATCAGACCATCCTTCCATAAGTAGTAGGTTTTGTAAACTTTCTTGCCAAAGTAGCTCTGTGAATTGCTGTATCATTCCCTTGGTGTACTTGTAAGTCTTTGGGGATAGTAGCAGAATGTGGTCCAGGTTTCTGTGGCTGATAACATAACATGCTAGCTTTCTTTATTTTTGTAAGTCGCGTCGGCTGACATCTTGGGTTGTACTGGATGTAACAAGTTTATTATCGGATGTCTACTTATATTTATTATGATATCATTATTCATTGTAATGGCAATAAAATTTAAATTTTGTTTTACTTAAAAATTTTGTTTTACTTAGTTCTTCTTATAATTACTTTGCGCTTTCTGCCTAAATGACTTGGTCAATGTAACTTAGTCAATGTGACACGAAGCTTTTATATTTATTGGAGTTGGAAAAGCATAGCAATTTTTAACTGACTGGCTAAATAGTAATTGGTAATTTTTTAAAAAATCTAAATCTTTTCAAACAATACATAATTATACAGAATTGAATGCTTCTAAATAAACCCAGTTATAAAAGGAGAAAACCGATATAGCCCTAATATCCACTATCCCAGTATGAAACCCAAATTATGTATTGAAAGAGGGGTGACCAAAACACAGTAGTGTGCAGTAAGAAATACCACACCCGCAATAACATTGGGCCCTAGCAAAAAATTAATTAATCAATGAATTAAAACATATATATTTTGAGGCTCACGACGTCTCGTCCCATGGGTGGAGTTGTAGGCTGAGTATGTGTTCAAATCTCCTTACTTCGTATGGTGAAACATTGAAAGGTTTGCCTTAGCCTTTGGGACGAGTGTTTGCCCACCGGGGATCCAAATATATGTTTATCATGGACATTACTTTGACACATAAACTAATCAAACGACTTTAATGATTCCAGAAAATTTTACTAACTGCATTTAGCTAGTTTATAGTAAATACACACGATCGCAGAATAGAGGAGCACAATTGGGTTCCTTGTTCTGCGACTGTGTTTCCTCGGTGGGCCGACAGGTTTTTGTTGTGTAGTAGTGCTGGGGAAAAAAACGCTTTAACTATCAATGAGAGTACAAATTTTTAATTCTTGACCTTAGTGCCACAGTTTCTGTGGTAAAAACAAATTTATAGTTAAACGTTATATATTGTAGAAGGGCATGATTTACTCACATCACTAAGCATCTGGATGGATAATTAGCACACAAAAATAAACTGACCTTTAAACATGACCACCAGCTATACCACGTAACCATAGCTCCGAAATAAATAAATTGCTCTACATAGAAACATCTGGCCTGATCCTATCACATTGTGGTCCCCAGGGGTTCGGTAAAGCCCTCACAGGCAACTGGGTCCTTTTACCAGCCACAATAAAATTGATCATGCCAGTACTGTCATAAACTGTAACCAACTATTTAAAAATTAGATATCTTTTGCTAAATTTTAAATTTTAAGTCATAGAGCAATCTTCTCAATTTTAAAATTTTTAAGAATTATGTTTTACCCTAACTATGATGTGGTGGCATTAATACTAAATTTCAACTTTGAAAGTAAATAGATTATTAGTGACAACAAAATTATAGTTTAAGACATCCATTCTGCATTGTGTTTCCAATATTAGAATTTATGATATGTATTGATTGAATAATTGGTAATAAATTTAACTTTTGTTTTATTAACTTTTGTTTTATTATAATATTGTACTTATAGAAAATATATCACTCTAAAGGCTCCTTCTCCGAGCTAATGACTCTAAAGTTCCTGATAACATGAACTTTGTCAGGCTCTGCTGTCCTTTTATTGAGTAGTTAGTCGACAACTTTCTTGTAGGCCATCCTGTCTGCAGCTGATCTATCTGGAGTAATGTAAACTGAACTAAACCCGTCTACATGTCTTAGTAGCTTAGTCTTGCTCAAGATGGTACGAGCTTGATCTGAGCTTGACAAAAGGAATTTCACTGGCCTGACTCGTTCACTTGTAGTTGTGTCCTTTCCAACTCGTTTACATCTCAAAATTTTCGGTTTTTCGTTGAGATGGTCCAACAAAATACCAGATACCTTAGCATCCAGGTTCTCCACGGCCTCAGTCTCTGGAAGCCCAAAGATAATCAGACTTTTACTTCGATCTTCTTCTAGGGAAATTCTTTTCACTGCAGCTTGAATCTTCTTCGGTGCAAAGGCGTTTTTGCATGTGTTTTTCAAAAGAGACGAAAAGGTTTTGATCTCTTTCTGAGCTGCACTTTTCACAGTTCCAATCTCATCATCCTTCTTCAAAGCTAACTTCTCCTGCAAATCACTGATTTTAGCCATATCTGCTTCTTGCTTAGAGAGCAACTTCTCTTGTAGTTCAATGATTTTAGTCGCATCTTCTATTTTTTCTTTCCTGAAAATTCTGTTGTCGTTAGCTGTTTCTGTGGCGGATTGTAACAATGGACCACAATAATCGTTCAGCAAACAGCAAACTGTCTCTAACCATTCTGATAACCTTTCTCTAGCACACTTCTCTGGTTCAGTTTATCAAACTCCACATCATCGTTGTGTTCAACTCCGATTTTACTTCTAATCTCCTTGAAAATACTTTCAGTCGCCATTTGTATCTGATTCACATATTCCGTAAGAAACTGGCCATTCACGACCATATCATCATCTAATATATCCATATGTTCATTCTGTAGCGGAAGAGGCATCGTACACGTTGTACAGAAAATGTACAAACAATGTATACAAATCTACAAAGCCAGAGAGATAATTCAACGCGCACACAGTACTACTGATAAGAGAGCTACAATTTAGCAACGAATGTAAAAGTGTAATATCGACATAGATAAGATTGACTGTTTGCGAACTAAATACGAATAACATTATTGCCCTGAGTCCTGACTTGACTGCCGGGTGCATATACAAAGTCCTTCCATTGTAATATTGAGTCATGTCATGTTGTAAGGTATGGACTCACGACCTTTCATAGGCAGTGATAGTTGCCAATGAAGTGCAAACAATGAATCACGTTAACTGAAATGTTGTTAACATAAAACCATTGTGCATGCCTTTCTAAACAGCATACCTTTTTACTGTGATTATTTTTATGTGCTAACCATGAATTGCAGACATTGTGACTAAACTAAAAGTTTCTGCCACAGCTAGCTTACATAAAGACAGGGTAACAAAGAGATAACTTTCAATGGAAGTTCAAATTTCTAGGACCCTCAATAAAGGTAATATATAAATACTTAACACTTATAGTTCTCGTTCACATATTACATGATCACTGAAGCTGAGGGGATTACGCTAACTTTCAATTGTAACACAATAGTATTATATGTAAAACTGCTTACAGAGGGGACAGTGGCGTAATGTTGCCTGTTGGCGCCCCCCCCCCCCCCCTCCCGCCGAAAAAGCGCCCCCCTGTTGGCGCCCCTTCCCCTTTTGGTGCTCCTCCCTAAAATTGAACAAATTAGGTGATTTTAGAGGAAACGCGCAGTTTTGCTAGTACTTTAGTTAAGTTTTCGAAATTGTCCCACATTCAAACGACGATTTGGCGCCCCCCTAAGAAGGCGCCCCCCGCTGTGCGGGGTCAGCGGGGCCCTTTGTTGCGCCACTGAGAGGGGAGAGGGGGAAGGTTAGCCAAAATGGGGGGGGGGGGGGGGGGGGGGGGGGGGGGGGGCCAATGGCATAAAATGGCATAAAATGGAGACTTTTTCTATGAAGAAAATGGAAAAACCCATGAGTAATTCTCCATTTTCTCCATTTTATGCCATGAATTTTGTCTTCGAAATTTCATCTTTAACACCATTTAACACCTAAATTGGACATCCTTACATGTTTATTTACGCTTACTAGGGGCGTAACAAGCTTATGAAAGCTCATAGTAGGCTACTAGATGCTTATACTAGGTTAGTAGAGGCACACTTCAGGCAAACTCATAATTACTCAAGCCTAGTGTAAAGTTATTTCTACAGGCTACAGCAGGAGTGAGTAATAGGGGAGAGTAATAGGCACTGAGAAGTGAGACCTACATCCTCGAAAGTCGAAACAAGCTTGCACTGCATAGGGGAGGCCTGCCTTCCGAGATCGCATTACCAGGGGGAAGCCTAGAGTCCAAAATTGTGTACCGAGGGGTAAATTTCTAAGTCAACATTTTTCAAATTTTTTCTGAAAACCGCTTTTCTCCACGTTTCATGCTACCCTGTTCATTATTTGCCGAAAATATTTTTTCGGTTTTTCGAAGTCCACACCTTCCCCTCGATACACAATTTTGGACTCGAGGTAATGCGATCTCGGAAGGCAGGCCTCCCCTTTGCAACACGAGCTCGGAATCGGGAGCTCTCGATACGGGAGGTACGTATCGAAAATGACTCGGACCGAAAATTTTCTAAGTCAACATTTTTCAAAGTTTTTCTGAAAACCACTTTTCTCCATGTTTTATGATACCCTGTTCATTATTGGCCGAAAATATTTTTTCGGTTTTTCGAAGTCCACACCTTCCCCTCGATACACAATTTTGGACTCGAGGTAATGCGATCTCGGAAGGCAGGCCTCCCCTTTGCAACACGAGCTCGGAATCGGGAGCTCTCGATACGGGAGGTACGTATCGAAAATGACTCGGACCGAAAATTTTCTAAGTCAACATTTTTCAAAGTTTTTCTGAAAACCACTTTTCTCCATGTTTTATGATACCCTGTTCATTATTGGCCGAAAATATTTTTTCGGTTTTTCGAAGTCCACACCTTCCCCTCGATACACAATTTTGGACTCGAGGTAATGCGATCTCGGAAGGCAGGCCTCCCCTTTGCAACACGAGCTCGGAATCGGGAGCTCTCGATACGGGAGGTACGTTTCGTAAATGACTCGGACCGAACATTTTTTAAGTCAACATTTTTCAAAGTTTTTCTGAAAACCATTTTTCTCCATGTTTTATGATACTCTGTTCATTATTGGCCGAAAATATCTTTTTTTTAAATAATTTTTCTCGAAATTCTAAATTTTTTAGGTTTTCCATGGCATAAAATGGCATAAAATGCTCCATTTATGCCATTGGCCCCCCCCCCCCCCCCCCCCCGCCAAAATGTGATTGCACAATATGTGGACTACCCCTTACGCAATAACTTTTAATCAGGTTTTACCAAGTTAATATAATAAATCATCTCTGCTGCAACTTAATGTTTATCCTTTGCTCCCACCTCCCATGAATATAACCACTAATATTTGAGACTCAATTCATGAAATTTGTACAGTGTGGCTCGGAAGTAACTGCCCATATTTATATTTTCTGAAAATTTGTGCAATTTCAATACGAATAACATGAGTTATTTAAGAAAAATGTGGGCAGTTACTTCTGTGCCACCTTGCATAATATATATACAGTTGTCACTGATGATATCATGGTTTTGTATCATGATTGAAACATTTGTCTGACTCAACCGGTTGTTTCAATTTGTATATATATATATATATATATATATGAATTTTGTGTTTATATATATGTGAATTTCGTGTTTTACTGTTTCACTGAATGTCTCAAATATATATATATATAATATATCAATTCAATGAAATTTAAACTGATAACTTGTATGATATTTAATTTCAGGAGTACTCACAAGAATGGCCACGGAAGAGGATCATATCGCTGAAAAGAAATTCTACAGCCCTTCATTATCAACACCCATAGTATCACAAGACTTGTTCTCTTCTTGTGTTCCATACAAGTCTCCAGATAACATTGTTAATAACTTGGAGGAGGAGGAAGAAGAGGAGGAGGGGGATTGTGTAAAGGACCAGGAGTCGCATTCCTCAGTTCCTACTCTTGAAGCAGATGAAGATGAGATGGAGATTACTGATCTGGAAACATCAGTACTAAAATCTCCAGAAACCCCAGAACCCAACATGTTTGTTAATGAGGATAGTATGGGGTTTGATAACCTTAATGCGCTGAACATAGTCACTCCATCTGTGGACTCTACTCAGTCCTTCATGAGTCTACTGAAGAAGAACCTTTCTCCTATCAAGAGGAAGTGTTTAAGAGTTGAACTAGAACCTGAACCTCTTAACAGTACTCAGACTTACTTCAACCTGACTAAACATTACAAACTACTCTCAGAGGAGCGTAAGAAAGTTTTGTATGGTAAGACTTGTGATAAGAGTAATTCTACTACTGTGAGACCACTAAGAAGGAAACTATTTAACGAGAAGGAGGGAGAGAAAGAGGAGGTATTGGAGAGAAGGGAAGAGAAAGAGGAGGAGGTAGTGGAGGCTACTGAACTGGGAGATTATGATTACAAATTGGAGTCGTTTGAAGAAGAGTGGGCTAAAGTCTCTGTTCTGAAACCAAACTCTGCAGTACGAGTTAAGAGCACCGCAAAAACAGATGGAGTATCTGCTACTAACAGAGAAAGTGGAGACAAGTCAAATGGTCCCTTTAATGTGGCTAATTCTCTCAAAACTCCGAATAAACAGATTGTTAAGTTGCAGGGGGAGACCCCACTTGACATCTGTGATATTGATGTTCCTTCAATGGTTGTAGAAGAGACTGTGTGCACTGTAGAAGATACTGTGTATTTGGTAGAAGAGCGTGAAGGAGGAACAGTATCTAGTGTTTCTACGGACTGTAAACCAGCCGAAACAGTTGACTTTACTAGTTTTCAAGAGATTGTCAGCGATGAAAAGTTGGAACCAGTTTCTTGTGCCTTGCAGTCAGTTGATAACGTTATTGTAACTGATTTAACCTCTAACGCAACCACTATCAAGAGTGTGCAGACAAATGAGGCTATTGTTTCTTCTCCTGCTAAAGAGAATGTCGCCACAGATGAACACAGTCACTCTGATAACGTAGTGACAATGTTACCTGAGTGTTTAGAGGTGGAGAAAGTTTCGGACTACTTTTATCAAGACAAGAAGATGAAAAGTGAAGATTGTCCGGAGAAGAAGTTATCGGCTGTCGCTGGTTTAAACAATCAGTTGAGGTTGGTTTCCTGGAAATTCTTCGTAGCTAGAATATTCAGTATTTGAACAAAATGTTCCAAAAACTATTTTTATTATTTTCCCTGTGTGTTATCTTTGCCTTAGCGTTCCTTAAACTTAAGTTTTACCGAAATATGTTTCAGCTGTAAACGACCTCTAGTCCACAAACAAACATTTGATCCAGAGAACAGAATCTACAAGAGAGCAAGTGAGTAGCTCTGTTAACAGCAGTTGTTGTCAGGTGTTACCAGGTGTTTCCAGTGCAGGTGTTACTAGGTGTTACTAGGTATTGCCAGGTGTTGCCAGGTGATACCATGTGTCAGGGGGTAACCTGTGACATACATTTTATCAGAATTAAAAGTAATACGGCTTACCGTACCTGTGACATATATTTTATGAGGAAAATTAAATTAAATGTTCCTAAAGTAAAAAGGGGGAGGCGATCGTGTTACCACTACACCAACCGGCCGACGGAGCAGAAGGCCCGGGTTCAAACCCAGTTGGATGCAAGTCGGCCAGTTACCAAGCTGTGATTTGGTACAGCTTCGGCTGGTGATACACACTCCCTGGCTCGTAGGACTAACCCCCTACAGCTAGTATAGTGCCTCAGCACAGAGTGGCTTAGGGTTACTGAAAAGGAGATAAGCACCTCAGGCCATCCCAACTTGTGGGAGAGACCTGCCCTTGTATCTTGTTGTAAAGTAAAGTAAAAAGGGGGCGTTTAAGTGAAATCAGAGCAGACAACCTAAATCAATTAAATCAATTAAATAATTGAATAACAATAAATTAAGTAACTAACCATGGTAAGGAGCCGGGTAGTGTTGGCCCTGTTGGGGCCACTCTCCTATAACAGCGCAGTAAACGACACTGGACTCTGAAATGAAGAGATTATCACACCTGACTTAAAGTTGCGACAAAAATATAACATGACAACCATGCTTACTAGGTCTAAAAATAGTAATAACCCAGTTTTACCCTTATTCTCTTATTGAATTTATTAACCTGTCGATGGAACTTTGGTTTATTAAGTCATCACAAACTCTACCAGATTATTTAGTCTGATAATTATTGAATTTTTATTTTCAAATTATCTTCTTCACGCTATTGAATATGCACATAATAAATCTATAAATGTAATCGACGTGTTCATTCTACATCCTAATACGGAGCCTCACTGAAGCTGTGAGTATTGAATTACACACGGTCCGCACAGTCTTTACTCCCCACTCTATGAGATCACCGTTTTATTGTGTGCTTCTGTTGTGTGCAGTCTGCTGCACGAATGGAAGTAATTTCTTTCTCGACGATTCTTCGATATTTTATTGTATCTCCTAATAATAGATTGTTTTGCACAGAAAAGGTTTTTTTAAATAATTTTGTTAATTGTAATTTTGATATCAAATTAATTACAAATTTGGCTCCCCAGGCCCAGCATCTAGGGTAATTGAATTGATCAATATTACATTCAATTCGTGTTTAACCAACCCACTTAAGCGAATTTGGCTACTAGACGAAATCGCAGGAGCCAGAGTGTTTTTGTGCAAGAAACAAAAGAAAAAGTCAAAGCAGCATCTTCTGATATCAAATTTGCCTGCCGGCTGCCAATCAACTGTGAAACAATGTTTGCAGGCTTTTTAAAGAACAAATTTTATAAAATCCAAGTCTCAAGAGTAAGAATAAACTTCTTGTTTGCTCAGCCTTGCTTTTGTAAGCAAACATGTTCTTCTGATAAGTATTTGTTTTACATGTATTTTACATGTATTTTATATTAAACAGTAATAACCATCCTAGTCAACTATCGATAAACCATGCCTATTACTTTCCCTAACTAATACTACAGAGTATTTCTACCTTCCTCTTGAAGTTCGGTAAATAGGGGTTTGACAATGTAATAATTGATTTCACATCTTAAAACTTATCCAGTGATGGAGGAAACAACAGTTGTTATCAAGATAAAAGAAGGGGACCCACTACTTGTCTCGAAACAAAGACTTACATCTGACAGTCGTATATTCAGAAACCTTATTGATGAGTGCAATTTTGAGGAGATTGACATGAGCGACTTTTCAACTGCAGCGGTAACTTTGTTCTTGACCATTCTGGAAGACAAAAATCTTGGCGAGATAAGAAATGATATGTTCAGAGAACTTCACAAGATGGCGGTTGTCTTTGAAGTTATGTGGCTGAAAAACGACTGCCACAGATGGTTACGAAGCAAAATGAGCTTGGCAACAGAAGATCATGTCAAGTCATTCTTATTTGATGAGTGTTGGTATATGCTGCAAAAATGGGAAGACAGAGATGCAATGGACGCCCTGATTTCATGTCTCTCACCTAAAAACAATTCATCATTTATCTCCAAGTATATGTCAGACTTGAGGAAACTAGAGCTAAAGCAGATTGATATGATGTTAAAATTAGGTGGAGGGGATTCTGATGTTTTCCTAAGTGTTATGCTGTACAATCTAGTCCGCAAGAAAGATATGAGCGATAAACTTCAACATCTCCTTCGGAAAATGGATTTAGCATTGTGTTGTGAACGGAATGAGAAACTGTATCTCGAAGTTTTTGACACAATATCAAACTTATCGGAAATTTCAAATGCTAATTTGAAGTTTATTTACAACTTGACATCCGGGACTATAAGAGAAATGAGTTCTAGGAAACGAAAATTAAAACAAGGGACAACGGTGGTGCGTGATTGGAAGAAATATGAAGATTTATTGAATACCTGTAAAACATCGAATGATATCATTAAATCTGTAAATGAGGACTGTGTTAAATCAATGTACGAGGTAGTTGACCTACTGCTCAAGGTTTGCCACGTTAAAACACCAAACGAGGAGGAGAGACAAACATTTATTACCACACTTGAGAACATTTGTACCAATCCCGGCAATAATATGCTTCAAAAGATATCGAAGGAATATCTTGATATCATCACTGATGCTGTGGATTATTCTAATCTTGAGCAGTCTGATCAGCTAATAGCTCTGCTAAATGATATAAAGAGTAATGATAAGCTCACCACAAGTCATCAGAGCGTTATCATAAAACGTGATAAGTACATTATAGTAACAGAAGATAAGGAGAGGAAACACCTGTATACCTTTAAACACCCTGGTACAGGAACCTGCACAGAGACAGGTAAATGTGGTTTTATCTTGAGAGAAGCTGTGTCAGACAATAAATGGACATTTGAACTGTGTACAGACAGCGAGGATTATACAGACACTGGAGTACATTTCCACGATATTATCTCCGCACATGACATGTTCATGTATAATACTATGTCAGGACACACAGCTGCTGGTAACAAAGTAACCGTGGTAGGTGCGTGGAAGTGGCGGGAGATATGGTTACCTGACATTACAGACTGGGTGTTTGTAGAGTGGTCTATAGCTTATAATGTTACTGATTATATGGTTGCTAAATAGGACAAATACTAGCATGATCAGTGAAATAAAACGTTACATTGAAAACCTTTGTTTTTAAAAAGATTCACAGGGGGGGGGGGGGGGGGGATTCCAATGGTGAAAAATGGTGTGAAATGGCAAATGATTTGTATTGTGAATTGAGTATCAAAATTGTAAAATTTCACCATTTTTCACCATTTTTTCGACGAGCATATTTGCCTTCTAGTTTTAGTTTTGACCTTGTGTTATAATTCTACAACAATATTTGGTTATTATAACTCAGATTTAAACATGTGTTTCGTTATATTTAAAATTTTAGTATATAGGTTTTAAAATTCAGAAACTCGATTCACCAAAACAATCAATCACCATTTTTCATCAAAACTAGTAAACATGGTGAGAAAGATACATTGGAACTAGTAACTTTTAGTGAACAATGAACATGGCGAGTGAGGTACATCAAAACTAGTAACTTTTGGTGAACATGGCGAAAATGTTACATCAAAACTAGTAACTTTTGGTGAACATGGCGAGTAAGGTATATCAAAACTAGTAACTTTTGGTGAACATGGCGAGTAAGGTATATCAAAACTAGTAACTTTTGGTGAACATGGCGAGTAAGGTATATCAAAACTAGTAACTTTTGGTGAACATAGTGAGTAAGGTATATCAAAACTAGTAACTTTTGGTGAACATAGTGAGTAAGGTACAGGGTGGCCCAAAAGTGACTACCCACACGCAACCTCTTAATAACTCACGTAATTCGTCTCCAAATTACGTGAGTTATTAAGAGGTTGCGTGTGGGTAGTCACTTTTGGGCCACCCTGTACATTCAAAATGGTAACTTTTATTTATCATGGCCATCTTGCTATGCGCTTGCTTCTCTCACCGTGCTAGCCCGGCCCTGGGAGGCCACAGAAAACAGAATATTTGTATCTGGGAGGAAATTTTAAACTTTCTGGATGTGGGGCCCCGGCCCTACACTGCCGACCATGTCATTATACTTCAATTTGACAAGTCCCATTGGGTAGAATTTAAATGCAACTGGAGCTTCATTTAGAGCTAGACGCCCCTCTAAATGCCCCTCTTTTAGGTCAAAATGTATGCGCCTCCGAGATACTTTACGCTGTTGGTCACTATGTGTTACTAAGTGTAACCATGTGCATGGTGTACCAGTGAAGGTGTTGCAAGGTGTTACTGACATTTTGATTGAGTTAAATTCAGGAGCAGAATCAGGAGCTGATAGAGGAGATGAAGGAATTCCAATAAACTCCCCGGAGCTAGTTCAGAAGATGTTCAGGGAGACAGGACTCTTAGCTTCTGGGTTTCCATCTTACCCTCCCCCTATCTCTAAAAGTGAGATCTCTTTTTAGTTGTAATGATTTTTTAAAAGGTACACATCAAATAGTAATTAGATGAATTTATTGTTTAATAATTAGTTTTGTTTACAGACCCCCCCTCCCCCTTTTTCTACACCCCTGATTATAGCAGAAATATCAGTCAAACGTAGAACTAATTAAAAAACATTGGTAAAAATATTGTAATCAAAATGTAAGAATATAATAATATACACTGAGTAACAATGCATCTTCTCCTCAGTTGTTCCCATCCCAATACCAGACGCACCAGTCACAAAGAGAAGAGGTTTAACACGCAGATCCACACGGTTATCTTTACATCCCTATATAATCAGGAACATTCACGTCAACGAGGAATAATTAGTTAGATAATAAGCTATTAATTGGTCAGATGATTATTGGGATTATTTATCATTATATTTTGTGGATTCTGCTTTTGGAATTGAGATGGTGACTCTGAGTTAAGTTGCAGTTTTCTTGAGAACTTTATTTGAAAGTGTTGAGGTTTCTGGGGGGTAACCAGTTTCATTGGACCACAAAGACGACAATAATGCTAAACAATGCTAAAGATTTCCAAAGAAGGAGTGGGGGTGAGGAAGGGAGGGGGTGGAAGTGGGGGAGGGAGTGGGGGTAAGGGGTGCACTCTAGTGGGGGTGATGGGTGCACTCTAGTGGGGGTGAGGGGTGCACTCTAGTGGGGGTGAGGGGTGCACTCTAGTGGGGGTGAGGGGTGAACTCTAGTGGGGGTGAGAGGTGCACTCTAGTGGGGGTGAGGGGTGCACTCTAGTGGGGGTGAGGGGTGAACTCTAGTGGGGGTGAGGGGTGCACTCTAGTGGGGGTGAGGGGTGCACTCTAGTGGGGGTGAGGGGTGCACTCTAGTGGGGGTGAGGGGTGAACTCTAGTGGGGGTGAGGGGTGAACTCTAGTGGGGGTGAGAGGTGCACTCTAGTGGGGGTGAGAGGTGCACTCTAGTGGGGGTGAGGGGTGCACTCTAGTGGGAGTGAGGGGTGCACTCTAGTGGGGGTGAGGGGTGCACTCTAGTGGGGGTGAGGGGTGCACTCTAGTGGGGGTGAGGGGTGAACTCTAATGGGGGTGACGGGTGCACTCTAGTGGGGGTGAGGGGTGTACTCTAGTGGGGGTGAGGGGTGAACTCTAGTGGGGGTGAGGGGTGCACTCTAGTGGGGGTGAGGGGTGCACTCTAGTGGGGGTGAGGGGTGAACTCTAGTGGGGGTGAGGGGTGCACTCTAGTGGGGGTGAGGGGTGAACTCTAGTGGGGGTGAGAGGTGCACTCTAGTGGGGGTGAGAGGTGCACTTTAGTGGGGGTGAGGGGTGCACTCTAGTGGGGGTGAGGGGTGCGCTCTAGTGGGGGTGAGGGGTGCGCTCTAGTGGGGGTGAGGGGTGCACTCTAGTGGGGGTGAGGGGTGAACTCTAATGGGGGTGACGGGTGCACTCTAGTGGGGGTGAGGGGTGCGCTCTAGTGGGGGTGAGGGGTGCACTCTAGTGGGGGTGAGGGGTGCACTCTAGTGGGGGTGAGGGGAGCACTCTAGTGGGGGTGAGGGGTGCACTCTAGTGGGGGTGAGGGGTGCGCTCTAGTCAGTGGCGTAACGTTGCCTTTTGGTGCCCCTCCCTAAAATTGAACAAATTAGGTGATTTTAGAGAATACGCCGGTAAAATCTCTAAAAATGTGTGTATCTAGAGCAAAACGCGCAGTTTTGCTAGTACTTTAGTTAAGTTTTCGAAATTGTCCCACATTCAAACGACGATTTGGCGCCCCCCTAAGACGGCGCCCCCCTGCACAGCGGGGTCAGCAGGGCCTTTCGTTACGCCACTGGCTCTAGTGGGGGTGAGGGGTGCGCTTTAGTGGGGGTGAGGGGTGCACTCTAGTGGGGGTGAGGGGTGAACTCTAATGGGGGTGACGGGTGCACTCTAGTGGGGGTGACGGGTGCACTCTAGTGGGGGTGACGGGTGTGGGGAGGATAATGGAAGTGGTTAAAGTTGTATTTAATGTCACTGGTCAAGGTTAGGAAATGAATGTGGACCTGAACAATTAGAATCGAACAATTAGATCGTGAAAGTTTAGGTTTGGTATGGGATTATCTCTCCAATGTTATGTTAGTAAATTTAATGACGTCATTTTCAAAGCAATATTACTGTGAATACACATGGTTTTACTTAATGAGTCAAACATTGTCTATCATCAATATTTGATGGTGCATAATGTACGGAGTTGAAACTGAAACCAAAATATATTAATTCGTCACCTTCATTTTAAAAGGTATAATGGGAGTTGTTACTAGGCTGCTTTTTAACGGAAAATATTTTATGGTTTGATATTTTCGTGTTATATTTGTCAATATAATTGAAGGTGATGAATGATATCTGTTCTGTTGTAAGAATGGGGATTTCAATTTTTGTGTTCAGTATAAATATACAATCTGTTTATATCGACATTTAATTTATACAATTTCAGATTTTGTTTAAACATGATTGACCTTGTATTTACTTTTGTGGATTAATCTATAAATTATTCTGTTCTTAATTCATAGCTCTCTGATTTTCAATATTTCAGTTTAAAGTGTCAAATATTTCTGTGTTATCAATCGAATCAATACTTTGAAGTTTTTACCATAAGTAAAATGGTATTATTAAAAAAGTAAATAGAAATATGCATTTAATGTTTTTGAAAAATAGGTTATTTGTTGGAAAGATGTTTTTGATATTTATATTGATAATCGATCATCCGAAATGAATCAATTGTATTAATTAAATTAATATAATATTAAATTAGATTTAAGATTAGGTGTGAACTCACAACTGTTACTGTTAAATTATTGAATTCGAATTGAAATTTCCGAGAAAAACAAGTTGAATACCTGTTTAAATCCATGACTGTATTTTCTTATGTCAAAGTTTATTCCCTCGAATTTGTGTGCTTTTTTAATTTTCGGTCTCAATTTATCGAATGGTCACACTACTCTATCGTAGTTAGTGGGCGACGCAACGTATAATATAGACAATATATGCTTTTTCAGCACTCACCATGACAGAAATTGGCCGCGCCTATCTGCCGCGCGCTGACCCTAATATTGCGCGGCTCTAGGTCGGCTGGTGTGTCCTTTTTGTATGAAGTCTAGAGCTCCGCGCCTTACATTAAACAGCAATAAAGAAAGACATTGTTTCAGTCCTGAACTGACTTTATTCCCAGGTGAATTAAACTTCGAGCAGAGATCAGCAACTCCCAGGATAAACTTAAATCACTTCCAATACTCACCACATAACAACTATCAGAGAACTTTCACAGCTATAATTCCAGTAAGTTGTAGTTATTGTTCGGATGCAGTATTCTAATATCAATGATACTGCCCCAACTTTAGAATAAGGCCTAGAAGTACGGATCATCAATGAAGTCACGACGATTACATTACCACGCGACGATGCGAGCGTGTAATACTAATACGTCTCATGAGGTTTAGAACTACATTTCAAATCGTTATCATCTCATTATCAGCACTTCAACATTATCCGAACCTGTAGTTAATATTCCCTGTATTAAATAGCGTTACATGTCAACAATTAGCTGCGATGAAGGATTGCAATCTGTAATCTCATTTACATTGCAGGTTACATATTAGCGACTACAGAATTATTCTCTAGTACGTTTAAATAGAAATATGAGAGCAGTTTGCTGAACACACATGTTATTGCAAATATTTTGGATGAGAAATTCAACTCCAAAAACTTTTCACACCTGGTAATTTTGGAGTTTCTCTCTTTTCACAGATTCTCAAAAAGATAACATTCCTAGACTTTATACAATCATTCTGAGACACAAAGTATAAATATATGTATCTTACTTAATGAATAAAAGGCGGAGCGAGTAACAACTAGTTCCTATCCAATCAGACTCACTCAATAAGTCACGTGATACAGCTAAGCCAATCATAGGCCTGGAATTGTTGCTTCCTAAGGAAAAGAGTTTACTAATTAACCAGCGGACCCACGGGCCTTTTGTCAGAGAAATTCATTACAAATACAATACAACAGTTAGGTGCTGTTTCCAGCACACTTCTGAAAGAATTAACATTGATAGGTTGTAATTAAAGTGTTAATTAGTGATTGGTATTTTGTTTTAAAACGCCCAATATCTACAGTAGCAGTACACCCTGCTACTCCAGTTAATATCTGGACACTACTAATAATAATACTGCTCCACTAATTACAGTGAGACTACAGAACACCATTAGTAACTAGCTAATTAGTTGCTCTGGTCTGTGTAGGAGGTTAATGTGAGATATGGTGCGGAATATCACTACATTATGTGCTAATCTAGCTATCATTTAGTATCATATTAATTAAAACATGGAACAATCTAGGGTGTTTGGTAACTAGACTAAAATTACAGTTGCTTGTTTTCCTACTCAATATTTTATGGATTACATTATTACAAAGAGTTCAAGTAGCTTACTTGTCACTGTGACGCTAAATACAACTTCTCCGGGACACACTTCTTGTCGTAATATTGATTTCATTAAAATGCTACACTGATTTCTTATAGCGTATTTTAAAACAACTCCCATCGTTCTACTTGTCTACAGTTTTAACTACTTTCTATACTGAATAGCGAGAATTTAACCAATAAAACGTTAAAACGCTCCGTCAATAGTGGTACTTGTAAGGCGACATGTTAATAAGCAGTTCTAGTAGAATAATGTCCTTATATAGCCATCACGTGACAGAGCAATAATAGAAGAATATCGGAAGATCAAGCAACACACCAACAATGTGTGTGGGACTGTATAATTGTTATTGTACAGTGTCATGGCTGTGTGCAATAGTGGAGGAGCTATTTTAAAATATAATCCGCTCTCTTTTTATCGTGAAGCATGTCAATACTTCAATAGTGTTACTTATCAGATATAAAAACACAAACAGGTAGAACCTCACAGATGGTATTATCTCAAATTTACTTAAATGTTAAATAAGTTTGTTAATTTCCATAAAGACCCCCTCCTCTCCCCCAAGAATCACATATCAGACTCACAATGCGTTTAACAGTATTGCTCCAAAAACTGTGCCTGTAGTTATACACAACTAAGTTCAGTAAACAGTACCACCTAACTACCTAACTACACACGGCTCAGTGCCCACAGTACACACTAGGAACCCACCAAGTTTCCTTCACGTGCCGCACATACCAACACCACTCACCAACAGGGGAGAGCAGGGCAGCTAGCAGAGCAGCTAGCAGAGCAGGGCGGCTAGCAGAGCAGAGCAGCTAGCTCCTCTCATACCTGTCACCTTTATTAAGTGTTAGAAACCAGTCCACACTGTTCCTGTCACGTGGGCTTAGTGCCTTGTTCTGATTGGTTGGTTTGTGTCATTTGGTGCTACAAGCAGTTCTGATTGGTTGGTTTTAGAACGTTTAAAGTTACCGCTGATCTGAATAGTTGGCACGCTTACCAAGTTTCCCCATTTTAGTGCAAATACAAACATGGCTTAAACATGTTAAAGTGTTCAGGTGTTCTACAGTAAGACTTTAATACGAGGTTGTATTATGTATTTGTACGTGACAATAAAC